TCAAGATAATCAACGATATTGTGAACAACGCGTTGGAAGGACTTGAAACATCTTGCCATTCCCCTCTAATGTGAATGCAACCCCGGGGATCATGACGAGCATACATCGGCGCTGTACTTGGCTCGTAGACGTGGGTATCCGTACAACGTCGATACGTGATGATGCCCCGCCACATTTTGCCAGTCACAAGCCACACGCCACTAGCACGAGATGAGTAAACGTCATGCCCATGGGGAAGGCCACCGACCATCCCTGTTGCAGCTGGCATTCCAGCATGTGAAATCCCACTGGGTGCGCTGGAAGACCCGAGGCTTTGTTACTCCAACATCCGAGCTGGTCATTCGCGGGACCCTCCACGGGACCACCTATCGGCATCGTGCCTAACGTAAACCACCATCACAAGCTTGCCCAGCGCTGCCAGTTTTCCCCAACGAGGCCACATCTGTGAAGGCTTGCACCGGAATTACAACACCACATCGCACCCTCCGATCTCCGTCATGGTCACACACCCTCTGTGATTCAACAGCAAGACAGCTTCTGCCCGGCGCTTTCGATCTGTAATGGGTTCCCATTCATAGCATCAATCGACACCATTGCGCCAAGCTACTTCGCTTGCGCCCGACAACCATCGACATGGCTGCTCAATCGACCCTTCGCGGGTCTGCAGCCGAAGAGGCCATTGCGGCCTTCATCGAGAAGTACTCGACCATCTTCCGAACCCGACTGCGCAAGACGACACGAACAACCCGACTTCTGGCCACACTAGCGCTCGCAACATCCATCATACTCAGCGCCGCTGGAGGGAGACGCTGGTGGAAAAGCCGCAAGGAAGAGAGGGAGCAAGGTCGCAAGCTGGTCCGTACCAACTCGTGGCTCTTCAATAAGGATGGCTCCCGTACCATCTATGTGCCGTATAAGGAGGGGACCTCCAAGGTCGTCATCCACACAACCAAGCCCTTGACCTTCGAAGCCCATCGCCGCCTCTTTCTTAACCCGCCGCGGGTGTCTGGACTCGGCGATGGGACTGTTCCATCTGCGCAGACAAAACCCGGTCTCAATTTGGCCTTCCTGCACCAGTTCTTGAGCTTGATGAGCATCATGATCCCGCGGTGGTCGAGCAAGGAGGCCGGTCTTCTCCTCAGCCACGGCATGTTCCTCATGCTGCGCACATATCTCTCTCTTGTGGTCGCGAGACTCGACGGAGAGATTGTGCGGGATATCGTTGCCGGACAAGGCAAGGCCTTCCTGTTAGGTCTCGCCAAGGTATGCCAAACGCAAGACGAAGCCCTCGCTTCACTTGAGCTTCGCTAACAGGAGTACAGTGGTGCGGCTTGGGCGGCCTAGCGTCTTATACCAATGCCATGATCAAGTTCCTGGAGTCCAAGGTGTCCATTGCCTTCAGGACACGCCTAACACGTTATATCCATGACCTGTATTTGAACAACAACCTGAACTACTACAAACTGTCCAACCTCGACGGCGGCGTTGGTCAGGGCGCTGACCAATTCATAACGCAAGATCTCACACTGTTCTGTGCGTCTGCCGCGAATCTCTACTCGTCTCTGGGCAAGCCTTTTGTTGATCTCTGTGTTTTCAACTATCAACTCTACCGTTCGCTTGGCCCCTTGGCTTTCATCGGGCTGACAAGCAACTACATCCTGACCGCAAACATCCTCCGCCGACTCTCTCCGCCATTTGGAAAGCTCAAGGCTGTCGAGGGACGCAAGGAGGGCGACTTCCGAAGCCTGCACGCCCGCCTCATTGCTAACGCGGAGGAGGTTGCCTTCTACGGCGGAGCCGACATGGAGAAGCACTTCCTCAATAAGGAATTCAAGTCGCTCAAGAACTGGATGGAGGGCATCTACATGCTCAAGATCCGCTACAACATGCTTGAGGACTTTGTTCTCAAGTACAGCTGGAGTGCTTATGGCTACCTCCTCTCTTCTCTGCCCGTCTTCCTGCCTGCGTGGGGTGGCCTTGGTGGTGCCATGGAGATGGTTCAGAGCGCCGAGAAGGGTAATAAGGAGCGTGGCCGCATGAAGGAGTTCATCACCAACAAGAGGCTCATGCTGTCGCTCGCGGATGCCGGCGGTCGAATGATGTACTCGATCAAGGACCTGTCCGAGCTTGCCGGCTACACGAGCCGAGTTTACACGCTCATCTCAACGCTGCATCGTGTGCATGCCGACGCCTACTACCTACGTGGACAGCAGAACGAGCTCTACTCGCTGTCGGATGTCCAGGGCACGACGCAGAAGGGCTTTGACGGTGTCCGGTTCGAGAACGTCCCCATTGTCGCGCCTGCCCTCTGGCCCCAAGGCGGCGACGAACTGCTGGACTCTCTCTCGATGGTGGTGAGGAGAGGCGAGCATCTCCTGGTGAGTTTGAAGTGACGCTGCAACAGACGACCCTGGCTAACCTGGTACGTAGATCGACGGCCCCAACGGCGTTGGCAAGACTGCCATTGCCCGCGTCCTCGCAGGGCTCTGGCCCGTATACCGCGGCCTCGTCAGCCGGCCCAAGTCGGCCGGCCAGGACGGCATCATGTTCCTGCCGCAGCGCCCCTACCTCAGCATCGGAACACTCCGAGACCAGGTCATCTACCCCGACGGTCACCACGACATGCGCGAGAAGCGCAAGACGGAGGAGGATCTTAAGCGGGTCCTCGAGGATGCGCGTCTCGGCTACCTCCCCGACCGCGAAGGCGGCTGGGACACGCGCAAGGAGTGGAAGGACATCCTCAGTGGCGGCGAGAAGCAGCGCATGGGCTTCGCCAGGCTGCTGTACCACGAGCCCCAGTACGCCATCATCGACGAAGGCACCAGCGCTGTTTCGAGTGACGTCGAGGGTCTCTTGTATGAGACGTGCAAGGAGAGGGGAATCAGTAAGTCATCCTGTCACGCATTATCGAGGTGGCATTCCTGACATGAAACCAGCCCTCATCACCATCTCGACCCGCGCTTCGCTCAAAAAGTATCACACGTACAACCTCACGCTCGGCCAGGGCGAGCAGGGCGACGAGTGGTCCTTCGACCGCATCGGCACGGAGAGGGAGAAGATGCAGGTCGAGAAGGAGCTCCAAGACCTGCGCGAGCGACTGGACCAGGTGGAGAAGTGGCAGGCGAGGCGACAGGAGATTGAGGACGAACTGGCGCAGGTCTGGGTGGAGGGTGGCGAGTCGCTGGATCCCCCTGCCTACGTCGAGCTCGAGAAGGGAGGGGAGATAAAGCACGAAGAGGGCGAGATGGAGCAGATTCAGGTTCCGAAGAAGGAGGAGGAAAAGGAGGTACATGTGGTGGCATCGGCATAGACGAGAACATACACAAGACGAATTTTGTACAATCAGACTACTTACTTACTGGTGGCAGAAGGGCATGTGCATTCGATCAATCAAGCAAGGAGTCACGATGCGATGCCACTGATTCGTGAAGGTTATTAGGGATGGCGCTACGATCGAAGAACCACGCGATGGCCGCCTGGCTGCTATGTTGACCACGCTATCTTGATCCACCCTTAGCTCGCCCCCCTTCTCTCGCTCTCTCTCTCTCTCTCTCTCTGTCTCTGTCTCTGTCTCTGTCTCTCTCTTCCTCTCAGCCCCCTTTGCAGAACGGTCTTGAACTGGCACCAATACATTCGGGCCATGCTTAAGACCACAAGCTCTGGCACGCATGGCGCCAATAACCACACCGCCCTCGACCCAGAAACCCCAGAACTGGTGCCACGGAAGCAAGACAATGTCTTCGGCAGAACCCCCCCGTTTCGTTTCAACGGCAGGCACTTGACACATGGGATCTTGATGGAAATCCGATGACCCAATACGTCGCCCTCGCGAGCTTTGTTCCAACAACCGAAACCCGCACGTCTGGCAACCGACCGCCCCATACCTCCCATGCCATCAACGGCCAAGTGCCCAGTTAGGCCTGGGTTGCATCACCATTGACCTCCCCCCCCCCCCCCCCCCCCCCCCGTCACCGTTCGCGCCAATGACGGTCGCCGCACAGCCGCGCCATGGGCCAGACTATTGCCCGCCCGGGCCTGGGATGATGCCGCGAAATCTCGCCAGCCCGCAGCGGAAGGGTTCACTTCCTTTCTGTCGATCAGAGCTTCTTTCGCGCGCGTGGCCCAATGGCGTAGCTGGCGCTGAAGCTCACATCCCTGCTCTCGCCTGCTTGACGCCTCCCAATCCAGCAAGTCGCCCCAAGCCACCGACCTGGATCACTGAAGCTCCGGGCGGGGCCCAGGTCGCCACGAGCCTCTAGGAAGAGCAGAGGATTTCAATCATTGCTAGTGCGGGACGCTGCGACAAAGAAGAAGCAGACGGAGACGAAGAAGGCCGCGATGATGACCGGGCCCAAAGAACGGGCACCGCCCGGGTCATTTTGACGATGGATTGGCGACAGGCATGGCCAGGGCGACGTCAGAGGAGCGGAGGGAGCGAGTATTGCCTGCATCTGCCGCTGCTTCTCTTAAACAGACAAACACTCACCCCACTCGCCTGCCTTAGAGCTCTATCCTTTCCCTTCTGCATCTTGAGAGAGACAACGACTTATTTCTTTTCTATGAAATTCTTTTCCATGAAAGAAAGTCTCTTTCGCCCTTTACCTGCCCCTCGGTTCTCATCCATCGTCCTCGTTCCCTTTACACCAATGTTCGAGAGGGCAGACTGCCCCAAGCAAACCACGCCAGATTACAACACCACCAAGACGGGTGTACCGCGCGCTTAGCCCTGTCCCTCACCTGAACCTGACCCAGCGCCAACGACGTTGGCATCACTCCATAGCACGACTGTGGAGGGTCTCTTGTCGAAGCTTTCGAGTCTTGGGCTGTGTGTTTAGAAAGCTCGGCACGCTGGGCTTGATACTGTCTGTCCGGGACACTTCAAGCCAACGTCTGATATAATACGGAGCTCGTGACTCGCCGTCACGCACGAAGCTTCCTTTGCCACCAAATTTTTCAGTCCCGACGATATGGTCGTGTCGACGCCCCAGCAAGGGCTCAACATGCCCAAGTATTTCCTCACGCCGAGCCCACGCAGTGGCCGACCTGGCGTAGGGCGCATGCCTAGCATCGCCGAACATGGCGCGCCACAGCTACAGTACCCGCAAGATACGCCATCTCGCCCACCGCATCGCCGCGCGAGCTCCCTGCCCGTGACGCCGCGCCGTCCCCAACGCCATCGGCCGGCGCGGTATCGCTCTGCCTCGACCAGCGCAACGGGGTCGCCGCCCCAGAAGCAGCCGCAGCAGTACACCCTTTTTCAGCAGCTCCAACAGCAGAACGTTCCGCCGTACCCCCCGCCATCGTACTATCCCCGCCATAGCAAGGAGCCTCTGTGGCCGAGCCCGCTGAGGAACAGCGTTGCCTGGGATTCGCCGGATCGGGAGGCCGTGACGGAGAAAAAGGGGCGGCGAGAGAGGATCACAGAGAACGCGTGGGTTGCGCGCAGGGGAGGGTGGTGCCGCATCTGCCTGATTATGCTCTTCTTCGTTCTGATCATCGTCGGTCTGTCTGTTGGGTTGGCTCTTGGCTTACGAAACGGGTGCGTGTTTTTTCTCCCCTTTTGCTTTTCTTGGTTGCTTATGCCGCTATCATGTTTCGTAACTAACAAGACCCAGCGCAAACAACGGCACTTCGGAGCCAACAACATCACCAGCGGCGTATCCCGCCGGCTCCTTCTCCTTCCAGACGGCATTGACGACTGCGTCATCAGACTGCACGTCCGACCCGGCTACCTGGCGCTGCCCTCCTTTCACGACTCACGCCGAGGATCCCTCGGCCGCGGGCGCCATCTTTTTCTGGACTATCACCGCGCCCGATGCAGGCGCCAACAGACCGGATTACACCGTGTCGAGCGCAGAGAACCCCTTTGCGCCGCGCTTCCGCAACGTGACCATGATGCTACGCGACGGCAACACGGTAAACGAGCGGCTCGAGTTCGAGATCGAGATGGACCGAGATGTCGTGCCAGGGAACTACACGGCGACTGGAGCCACGTGCTCGTACGACACCGTCTTCAGGGGCGTGGTCTGGACTGACAAGGTCAAGGGCGGCGACAGGAAGCGGACGTCAATGGCGGATGCGGGCGATGCAGACGAGGGTGCAGACTGGAGAGAGTGGCCTGGTGAAGTGGAGATTCAGCAGGTTAGCAAGAAGGGGCCGAGCTGTCGCGAGGGGTCTGGGGCGGTGATCCCCGTTGAGGCCGGGGCCGGGCAGTGTACGTGCCGTTATGCCAACTATGACCTGGATGAGGCGAAGAGGCGGCGGAGGAGCCGGGCGGCGAGCCTGTCTTGAGCTGGTGGTGCGCCCTTGTGAGGCGTGTAATGTCGTGGGCCTGGGCTATATGGGCTGGAAGATGCGGAGGATAAGATACCATGCTAGTAATAACTGATACCCCCTTTTTATTCACGCATGGCAGCGCGAGATGGCCAAGTGACGTCTGGGGGAAGAGACATCTTCTCAGCATCCTTTGGCTAGACTGGCCTGTTTGAGCTAGGAGTGGATTGGGCGTAAGGATCAAATGTCGGAGGATCTCAGCACAGTCTGGGGAGTTCAGTCAGCTGTTGACCTTCTCCGTTGCTCGGGTTCACGACGGTGTTGTCGCACCACTCTTGATCTCTAACCGTTGACACCCAAGGAAGGTAAGCCCTGAAAAAGAAGCCAAAGAACGACAAGCATGCAGCTGGGGTTTTGCTGATCAGATACTTAGAAAAAGTACCTACGTCGATTCCTATTCAGAACGATAGCCGGAGCCAAAATAACAGGGCAAGTGAGGTGGACGGCGGGCAACAGCGGATGGAATCACCAACTTGCTCTTTCCATTTGTTTCAAGAAAAGCAGGCACATCTAACCACCCAGGCCGCCCCTTCCTTCTATCTTCGCTGCTACTCAATACCACTTTCTGCATCTACCACCTAGGTAGGTAGGCACCTTTCTACCTTCCTGATCCCGAGGTCAAGCCCCCATCTACACCCCAGCATCTCCGGGTGTAGCTACTTCATCATATCTGCCAGCTTCAACCACCTCAACCCTCTCTCAAATTCACGTTCTGTTTTCAATCAATGCTGAGAGCAGACTGTCAAAAACCACCGCAAGCCGCTCGAGCGAATAAGTCGAGACTTCGAATGCTGTACGATCGTTTCAACCTTCTTTTCTTCACTCAGCTTCGACGAACCTCCGGCGCCCTGGAACGCCGTTCAAGCACCGGCACTTTGTCCAGATTACGAACACCGTCCCGCTCATTCAGTGGTTACCTGGTCCCAAATATTTCAGGGCTCTGCGAACAATCTTCCATTCTTTTCTTCTTGTCCATATTCGGCAAGCTTCCTCCCCAGCTGTTACGCAGAAGAGCCAACCACAATGGCTAGCAAAGTCCAGGACTTGAGTGTTACCAACAAGCAGCTCTCGATCAAAAACATCGAGGGATCCGTTTTCTTGTTCTACAACTGCAATCCCGATCAAGTCGTTGGCGCCGATGCATCCACCATCACCGTCGACAACGTAGCGGGAAACGTCTACATATTACACACGACGCACCTTGAGAAGCATTTACCGATCCCTGTATCTGTGCGCGGCTCTCGAATGACCGTGGCTTCCAATGTCGTGTTCAAAGAAGGCATCGTCGTCGTGCAAAACGTCGAGTCAGACCTAGTTCGTGTGCACTCGAACAACTCCTCGGCTCAGGCAGTTAAGATACGGCATGTCAGCGGCAACGTCATCTCGGAAGGCGGCGTCCCTGTGAATGTCCGGATCAGCGAGTGGGACGGCAAGTTCACTGCCTCCCTTCCGTCAACCACAGAGCTAGCCCAAATCATGGAGAAGGCCGCTTCCGCATAGAATGCAGGCGAAAATGCTCAGCGAAGCAGGTCGGGTGGTGGTAGGAACATCAGCTCAGCTGCCCAAACCCGCCTGAAGGGATCACGCCGCGAAAAGAAGGAGCGACTTCGACAACAAGTGTCACAGCACCATGAAGCCGCCTTGAATGCGTCCTCGTCCTACCCTTCGTCTCAGGAGAGACTCCCCAGCGGACAAAGCCTCTATCGAACCGACTACACACCGCGTATTCATGGATCTTCAGAAGAGGTTAAAGCCGGACGCGCCTGGCGTGCCCGACATACGGGCCCTGATACTGATCAATATAGTCACGAGTCTCGCCAAAGTTGGCCCGCGTGGCTTACGTACGAGCTAGATCGAACAATATCCTCGGGCTCGACGAGGATCGGCCTCGAAACCCGAGCGCGTCGCGGCGAGTACGGCAATGACAGCCATTCTGTGCCTCCGTATGGTGAACGCACGCAAGACAGCGGGGCGATGTTTTCTTATGACGACTACAACGAGAACGAGAATGTGGATTGGGCCAGTATGAATATGCAAAGCAGAAAACGCCAGAGATCCGAAGTCGATGAAGTCGACGAGCCCGCCGACGCCCATTCCGACAAGAGAATGAGGATTTGAAGGCTGTAGAGTGCGCGAGAGACTGGAGGAGGGATTGCAGTATGGAGGAAGATGATCGGACTGTTGTCTTGTGCTTTATGAATTGCTATGTCTGGAAAAGGGCACGTTGCTGTACGCACACTCGTTGCCGAGTTTACGGTGACCGGCTTTGGCATTGTATTAACCACACCTGGTTGCAAAGGAGCCTTTACCAAGTCCAGTAAAAATACAGGGAGCTGTTACAGCCCTGTCGTTGTCGAGCTCGCGCAGGAAGTCTCATGCTCCAAGTTGCTTAACCTAGTTGCTCAATGTCAAGAGGATATCATCAAGTATCCCCAAGGCCAGACTCGGTGACAACCAGTAGCATTATCCAGCAGGCTGCCTCAGCCATTCATTACAGATATGATACAATGAGAGACCATTTTGACCCGCTATATACAGGGTCGGGAGCCAGGTCAATGCTGACCCCTCTATATGTGGAATATTCCACTTCATGTCCAACCGTATCATGCCACCACCCTCGCTCTATTATCCCTCCAGGACGGACCGTCTTTAGAACAACAAAAAATGCGGACATGAGCCGCTCACTCAGCCCTTGCGCGCCAGATACGCCCAGAACAGCAAGACCATCCACGCGACGCGCCACGCGCACGCCAGCACCTCGCGGCCCATGAGCCCGAGCGACGTCCGCGGCCTCGCCGACGCGGCACGCCACGATGAGCCGAGCGAGCGCGACTTGCCGCTGTCGTAGAGGTCGTCCCTGTATATGTCGATGCGCGGGCCGCTCTTCTCGGCCCAGCCCCACTTTTTGCCGTAGTGCTTGTGGCGGCCTGTCGAGCCCGCGCGCGCGGCGCCGCCACTGCCGCCGAAACCGTTGGCGGAGGACGTCAGGGACGAGCTGCGGAGGCGGGAGGAGCGGAACTGCGAGGAGCCGGAGGCGGCCGTGGTCGAGTTGTGGTGGGCGTAGTAGCCGTCGTCCTCGACCTTGTCCTTGTAGGTGGGCAGGAGGCCGCCGGCGCCGGGGCGCTGGTCCGCGGCGAGGGTGAAGGGGGTGAAGCCCAGGACGGGCATGAGGAGGGCGCGGACGACGATGGCCGCGAGGCAGACGACGCCGAAGACGGCGTACCTGATGAAGGTCGAGATCTGGTTCGGCAGGTGGCAGAGGTGCGTCTGCAGTGTCTGCTGTGGCGAGCCGGGGAGCGGCTTTCCGTGGTCGTCCACGGGGTTGAAGAGGCTGACCATGACGAAGCCGGGCGTGGGCACACCCATGGCCATGTTCAGGCTCTTGACGGTGATCTCGCGCACGTTGTTCTTGCTGTCCGAGTGGACGACCTCGCAGTAGTCGTGATCGTCGCCCGAGAAGGCATGGACGACATTGCCGATGCTCTTGACGAGCTTGACCGAGTCCTCTTCGCTCAGCACGTTCTGGTACTGGTAGCCCCTCGAGACGGAGATCGCGTTACGGTGATCCGGCTTCACGGGCTCCGTCTGCCCGGCAGGCTTCGGCAGCGGGGGCCAGTGCTCCCTAAGGGGGCCACAAGGCGTGCCGGGGTCCCTGTAGAGCGGAACATGGGAGAGAAGAATGGTGGGGAAGTCGCCGTTGGCCTGGTCGGGGTTGAGGCGCGGAACGTTGTCGAGATTCGGCCGGGACACGTCTTCGACCTCGTGCTTGAAGGCGACCTCGGCGACCTCGCCGCGCCAGAACCGGAGCTCCTTCTCAACCGCCTTTTGCTTCAACGACTGAACATCCTGGAGGAAAATGTTTGCGGGTTCGTAGATGGACTTCAGGTCGGCCCGAGTCAGGGCGTCGGATGAGTCGGCGCTCAGCGAGACGGTATCGACGGACACGATCGTATGGTTGCCAATGACGTCGACCCGGTTGCCGTCACCAAAGAAGGCGCTGAAGCGGTCGCGCACGGGGATCTTGATTTCGTCGCCGAATCCCAAATCGTGGTTGCCTGGCAGCCCGGCAACGAGCTTCCGCCCCCTCTGCCAGGGACCGGGCTGCTCCCCACCGGTGTTCCAGTCCTTGATGAACATGTCGCTGAAGCGCGCATATTCCTTCAGCCAGAACCCTTCTCCGTACTTCTTGTTCCACGTTTTGACGTGCTTCTGCTCGTTCTTGGGTCGGTGGCCGGCCGCCCACCTAGGATCGCTGAAATCGCCCACGGCCGTCTTCCATTCCCGGCCGCCGTCGAACAGATCGCCGAGGAAGAAGACCGAGTCGGGCTGCAGCTGGGTTCGCAGCTGTTTGTAGCCCTTGCGCAAGTAGTTGTCTGTGATGAGCACGGTGAGCTCCGACAGGAGCCACGGCCGATCAGGGTAGGAGTGCGGATCGATGAGCTGGGGGTCGGCGACGAAGACGAGGTGGTGAGGGGTAGCTCCTGCTGGCTGCAACAACGGGCGGCATCAGTCTCGAAGGCTCTCCTCATCTGGAGCGGCAAGGTGTGCACAGAGCGACTTACCCATTTCTCCCACTTGTCCCATTTGCAACTGGCGACGCGGCTGTCGAAAACCCAGTATTCTCCCCACAACATGAGCAGCACGAAGAAGCCCACCAGCAAGTGGGGGAAGCTGAGGAGGCGGCGCGCCGTCAGGTTCATCCTGACCTGCCACGCGGCTCGTGTGAGAAGGTTGGCCAGCAGGCCGGACCGGTTGTTTCGCAACGCCTTGACCGATTGCTGCAGCGCTTGGAGGGCACCAGCGAGGAGGTGTCGGCAGTTGGCGGCGACGCTGTTGTTGCGGCGCACCCGCGGGAGGTATCCCGTGTTTGGCCCAAAGCCATTGCTATACGAGGGAGCCATGCTCCATCACCTGGTGCTGCGACTCTCCGGCCTGTGTGGATGCGCGGCCAGGCAGCC